ATGATTGAAATTTAAATACATTTTAAGGCAAAATTATCAGCAATACATTTTAAGGCAAAATTATCAACAATATATTTTATAACAGAATTATCAACAATATATTTTATAGCAAAAAGACCACCAATACATTTTATCTGTAGTTGAAGGTATACAATTGCGTTCAAAATGTATTTATTTATTAAAGACATTTTTATGTTTAACGTTGTTATTTATAGATACAAGTATTTAAGCAAATGCTCTGTTTATGATAAACAGTATTAAATAACATTTACCGGCCTGAATGTCCGAGAAATTTTCATAGAAAATATTCGTTCTTTTTCATAGAAAATATTCGTTCTTTTTCTATGAAAATTTCTCGGACATTCAGGCCGGTAAATGTTATTTAATACTGTTTATCATAAACAGAGCATTTGCTTAAATACTTGTATCTATAAATAACAACGTTAAACATAAAAATTTCTTTAATAAATAAATTGTCGGACCTTGTCCATTTCTTAACATAAAATGTATTTAGTTGAAGGTATACAATTGTGTTCAAAATATTTAGATTTCGGCATTAAATAACATAATGGTTGATATGCCGTTAAACAAAATCAACCATACAATCGGAGCAATGTTTTACGATTTACTATCCTTCCTTTTCTATGCTCAGCCATCTATTCGCATAAACTCATTAAGAAAGTTGTGCGCAATTTGCCTTTAAACCTTGTTAAATTTTCCAAGTTGCCTTTCATCATAATGCGTTCCAGAAATATACGAGAACACGAGCTCGCGTGTTCTTCCGATTTCGTGACTTGTGGTACGAAACCCGTTGGACCACTTGAGTTCACTTCGTTGTCTTCAGTACTTCTACACATGCAGAGACAGGTGCACGTCTCGTGTGGAGGCGTACCACGCGCGACCCTGTTGTGTGCTCGAGCGTTCGGCTTGCCATCCGTCCGGTCATGTTGCGTCGTTGGCCGGCCGAGCGGCGATACCGCGTCGTTGGCCGACCGCATGTAAGCGACGAGCGGTCGCGTTTTGTCTTTGTAAAACTGTGTTCCCCCACTTCGTCCGTGGGACCCGACTCTGCGGTGAACGCACCCTCGACCACCAACCGCCTCCAGCAGGGCACGCTGAAGAGCGTATACGGGTTACCCTGGTCTTCCGACTTCGAGACTCTCTGATTTTAAATTTGTGTTGTTCTAGTTCTCATTTTCTTTGAAACTTCTTCATTATTCACAAATTTTATTCATGGTATTCTCAGCATTCGCCTCCAGAACCACATCTGTGTCGTTTCGAGTTTCTCTTTGGAAATAAAGTTGTCCAGAATTCACTGATATATATATATATATATATATATATATATACTAGCAGCATAGCCCGGCGTTGCCCGTGCTTGATTCAAAAATCGTCCGACTCATACAGCAATCGCTATCATTTAACTTAAAATATTTTTGCCCTTCCTTGCTTTTAAAGGAGTGCCCTTTGCCGTGCTGATGTTGCTACATGCCATCTCACACTGCGAATTTTTTCTAAGCTCTATACTAAACATTAAATCTGTTACGAAAAAAGAACTAAACAAAATGAACACAAAACGATCAGCTTTAAAAAAAAGTACACGTAACTGGAAAAACCGAATGAAAAAAGAATGTTAACAACAAATACTTTTTCACACCCAACCCAGTTCTGCGGAATCATAATCAACGTTGAGTTTAAGCAAGCGAATGAGACAATTGGAGTAAAGTGCCATGCGGATTAAAATTTTTCCCCACTTGTGACGAATGCAGCTATTGATTTTTTTTGCTAGTTAACATTCGTGTCAGTCAGCTGTTGGCTCTCACGCTGGCCAATAGAATTTTCCTGTCTATTCGTGGCAGCCAGCTATAGGCCTGTACAAAATATACTCTGGCCAGTAGAAAATGGCCGAAAACTACATGAAAACTGCCGTAGAAGCATGAAAAAATCGATTATTTCCACTATCGATGGGAGTTGGGAAATGCAAATTCGGTCTTGGCGTTCCCGCTAACTTGGAGCATGTGCATGTAGATTTTTGTGCAAATCCTTCGAAAATTGCGGCCGTGCATTCGTTACACACACATACTGCCTTTTATATATATATATATATATATATATATATATATATATATATATATATATATGTGTGTGTGTGTGTGTGATATAGCAGTTCAATACTTTTTCCAACGAAATATTGTTTTAATACTTATCTCAGTTTCTGGAAGTCATGTTTCGTTATACCGATGCACATTCGGATCTCTGTGTCATAATATTCTTCTTTAAGTGCTCTCAAGACGTAAGCGATCATGGCTCTCCACAATTTCCCATTTTTATACTACCCATATAATTACATATAATTACATTTCTGTACCTCTTTTTTCTTTTTTTTTTTTTAATCGACCGTAGTCTGGATCATCGAGCCAACGCGAACGATACTTTATCAATAGTATGTGCTACGCCAGGTGTACATACAATTTTGAATTTAAAGTTAATTTCTCCTAGACCGGTTGTCACCCAAGGGTATTAGCACATAAGTGAACGTAATGGATCAGACTGGAATTCGAACTCGGCCCTCTGATTCCTCAATGCGAGCCGCCATCCACCGTACCTCTTTGATGCCAATGTCTCCAATATGAAGCTTACACAATTGGTTTTTATCGCCTTGCTCAGTGTTCAATGCTTAAAATAGTGTTTTAAAAAATCATCTGACCACCTCAACGGTTTGAGTATTTCACTCTAGCGTCTTAATGGTTATTTTCTAAACGTAGCTTAGATGTGGCACAAGGCCGAAAGTATGAGACTCCTAGTGAGAATCGAACTCACTTTTCAGTCGTAAGTAATCTAGCGAGACAAGCTCGCTAGCCATTACACCACGGCGAGGTGCCCTCAAACGTCTTAATGCCTACCAAACAACCACAGATCATCTTTATTTTAATTAAAAATCTTCAAAAGATATTGACTTCTACGACCGCATAAACTTATCTTGTGTCGAGTTAATCATATTTTCCTGTGAGGAAGTTATAGACAGTAAAATCAGGTTTTTATGCAATTGTTTTCCCTGTCATAAAATCTGTGGATTTGACCTCCTTATTCATTTTCTCGTCGTTAATATCTTAAGTTCTAGCAAATATGACATGTGGCCGTGTCATAGATAGGCATAAAGATAAATCTT